TGTCCATCACAGTCTCGAAGCCCGGAAGACCAAGAATGGGAAGAATGTGGTCCTTCTGATGAGGTCAAACCGCATCAGTCATAAACACTGAGAACAAAAAGGTTCTGCACTCCAAACACATTTACAAATGTAAACATACAAACCAGATCCATCATGTCTATCTCAATCCTACCTTCTGCTGTCTGGGCATTGGGACAGCACCCAACTCCACTGTTGCATTGGTCCCGCAGAGAAGACACCAGTCCCTCCAATTCTTCAAGCCGGCTTATGAGGTCCTTGATATCAGGAGCTGCCGCACAGCCACACGCCTGTCGGGGGATGTTTATCCGATGCGTGAAGACTATCTGATTATCCTCATTCAACGTATGCTCCTGATAGTGTTTGCTTGGCTCAGTCTGAGCTTTGAGTTCTGAGTCCCCACTTGATGGATCTAAGTCCACAGCGCACAGGGAGCCCACAGGGACATTAATGTTGTAGACGTGGTTGAAGACCACCGGCTGGTTGTCCTCGGGCAATGTGGCATTGATCCCTGTTTCCCGTTTCTGTCGAATGATTCTTTTGATGAGTCCACCCCTAACATGTTGATTGAATAAAGATATGGCTACCAAGGCCAAAACCCAAGTTGGGAGGCCCATGTTGAGGTGCGGATCTGTCAATGATCCTCTTAAAACTTCGGCGTTGTCTTGTGTTCACAGTCCAAAAGAGAGAAGTTCTCTTGCTGTTCAGGTCTCTGTCCTCTTGAAGATCCTGCAACAGTTAAAATTATATTGGGATTAGTTATTAACCTGAGCAACCAATATCATGACAGTGTGGTGACCTGCAAGAAGAAAATTGGATCAACCGTTAAAGTGGAATAGCGGTGCTACAATTGTGTAGTGTGGATGATCTTCCCCTTTGATGTTTAGAGAGTCATCATCAATGTCAGAGGGAGGATTTCTAATTCACAACTAAAACTCTTCTTTTGTTTATCTGATGCTTTCGAAACCCAGGGCATCCGATATTACATCTCTTTGGTTAAATAAGGAAGTCTTCTGGAAGTATTCAGTTAAAGCTGTTTCTGCTCTAGAGGAGAGGCACTGCAGACAGGCACACTCTCTCTTGCTCCTTAAAGGCATGCACACAGCTTTCCAAGGCATTTTAAGGAGGCCCAGGGAAGGAAACGCAATGACCTGGAGCTATCTACCCTGGGCTTCCTTAAAAAAACCCTCTTTTTAAATATATTGCAGGACACTTTTTTGCTTTGGGTTTAATGCTTCCTTAAAGCAGTTTCTACTTTCTACTCTAGAGGAGAGGCACTTTAGACAGGCACACACACTCTCTCTCCTTAAAGGCATGCACAC